TCTCTTCATTTACATTTGCACATTCCATCTGTTGCAATGAGGGAAAAAAACTGATGACACTAAAATGTTTTCATGCATTCAAACATCAACCTAGCGGAGTTTCTCCTGCTCTGGAGAGTGACTATGTACACAAGTAGGTCTGGGCCATATCACACCGTTCACGGTAATACTGGTATAATGCCAGGCAACGATAAGAAAATGAAATATCGCGATAGAATATGGGTAAAATGCGCATGCTCAGTGCCTTTGTTTTCATACGCACATGGCGGCGACGCAGAATGAGAAGAGTGAAAGTGGATCGTTGAATGAAACGGATGAACCAGAACTGGTTTGTAAAAAGGCTGCAACTTCAGTGGTGTGGAACTGGTTTGGCTTTCGTCCGTCAGATACACAACAAAGCACATTTTTTGGTAGCGCATGCAAACGGGCCGTCGTTATTACCATGTTTTTCGGACTATAAGGCACTCATAGTGATATGTTAAAGCATACATTCCTTTTTTCAGACTTAAGGTTTTATTAAGTGTCGATATAATCCGTGTTGAAATAAAATCCTTTGTTTCTATTGTTTTTCCTCAGCTATCTGTAAATGAAAGTCGTGAGGGTTTTTTAATATCTGCTATTTCATGCATTGCTATAAAAAAGTAAAACTGATTTTATGATACTGTTAAGGTAATGCACAAATTAACACAGAACACATTTTGGAGAAACCTCTGTGACTTTAAAATGTACAATTTCAGAAACATTCACGAGTCACTGAGCCTTCTGTCAATAAATAAAGCTGCATTTAAACACCTGGTAACAACATTTATTCTCATAAGAAATGCTTGGGGGCACCCTAAGATCAAAACGCAGAAAACTAAACTGCATTATTGCAGCATTTTGCTTCGAACAAGGATAAATGCAGCAAAGTTTTGTGTACAGGGCTTGTTTTTTATAAACCGTCATGAGGTTAAATTAAATTTCATTTATGCTTTTTTTTGCACTTTTATGCTGTGAAGAAAATTCTGAAATAGATATTTTATAATGATGCATCTGGTCAGATGAGTTTTACAACGAACTGAATTGTAAACCTTCAATAATCAAATTGTCACCATTATGTTGGACTAAGGACACATTTGACTCAAACCC